TGTGTGTGTGTGTGTGTGTGTGTGTGTGTGTGTGTGTGTGTGTGTGTCCTGGGGTGCTATCTGAAATGTATTTTTTGTGGGTACTGGGCAAAAAGGAAAACTGGTAGCTTAAGTTAATTGTTTGGGACAGAATTAATGTTGGGCCAACAGAACGAGGGTCCCAGCGGCTCTGCTGACATGTCACTTTCTTGGGGAGGCAGTCCCAGAATTCCGTACCCCGCCCTCACCGCAGACTGCATCTGGCTCTCCAATACGCACCGCTATACCACCTCCAAAACTCTTACGGCAAGTCTAATGGTCTATTTGTTTGCTGCCTTCCTCCCTTACTGGACCTTAAGTGCTGGGAGTCCAGGCGCCGAGTCGTTTGTGTTCACAGCTGTCTCCTAACGGAAGTGCCTCCCAAAGGACAGAGTCCAGCGGAGGGTTTTACTGCACAGATGTGGTTCCAATACGTACTTCACCCCTTGTTGTTTGTGGGACACCAAGTAGATCACTTCATCTCTTTTCATCCCTCCACCTCTGTTTATTCATCTGTAAAATGGGAACCCTCATGCCCACTCCGCCTAATTCACAGGGCTGGCCTTTCGTTCCCAGGACCCAGATCAGTCCTTAACACAAAATCAGTTGAATGGGTTTCGCTTCCAACGTTGATAGTCTTTGCTTCCTGACAATTGCTGACAGTCATGATTCACAGGTGTCCCACTGTTATCTATTGTTATGTAACAACCACCCTGAACTTAGTGACAAAAACCAACCACCCATGTTATAATGCTCATGGGTTGTGTTGGGAAGTGAAACGGGATGGTGGGGATGGATGTCTTTGCTCCACAATGTCTTGGGCCTCAGCGAGCAGTGATTCAAGCGCCTGGGGGCTGGAATCTGGGGGTTTTTTCACCGACATGTCTTATAGCTGAGCTGAGATATCATGTCTGAACTGTTGACCAAAGTACTTATACATGGCTGCTTTTGTGGCTTGAACTTCTTGTAGCATCTGGGTACCAAGAAGGAGCATCCCCAAAGCAAGCATCCAAGAATGAGTGTTTCAGGAGAATCGAGTAGAAACTGGTGGCCTTTTAGGACCTAGTCTCAGAGTCACACAGCATTGCTTCTGCCATGCCCTATTGGTTGAAGAAGTCACAAGTCCGCCTAGATCCAAGGGAAGGGACCACAGACCCCACCTCCCATGGAAGCAATGACAAACAATCTGGACCATTATTAGAAACTTCCACAATGTGTCTAGGCCCACAGCAATATGTGTTGAATGAATGAATGCATGAGTAGTAAACGAATGAATGTGTGAGTGAACAAGTCAGTGGCTATCTTGTTCTTTGCCGTATCCCCAGCACCCAGCAGGGAGCAGGTGCTCTGTGGGTGTTCACTGAGTGACTGAGCGAGCAGAGCCTCTACTACCCCACCAGCCAGCATCACCCTCCCTCCCACCCTAGGAATCACATACCCATGACTGGGGGCATCTGGGCTGGGCACTGAGCTGAAGGAAATCGTGTACAGAGTACAAAGGACAAAGGCTCCAAGGCAGGAAGGTGCTTGCCATGTGCATTAGCTTTCCCAGACCACTGCCACAAAAGCACCACAAACCAGGGGGCTTAAAATAACAGAAGTTTATTCTCTCACAGTTTCTGGAGGCTGGAAGTCGGCAGCCTCGGTGTCCACAAGGCCATGCTCTTCTGCAGGCTCAAGGGAAGAACGTTCCCTTGCCTCTCCCCAGCTTCTTCCCCGGCCCGTAGCTGCCGCACTCCAATCTCTGCCTCTGTCTTCCTATGGCTTCTCCTCTGTGTCTGAATCTCCCTCTCCTTTCTCTTACGATGACATCAGACATTAGATTTAGGGCCACCCTAATCCAGGATGACCTCATCTTCACTAATGACACATGCAAAGACCCTATGTCCAAATAAGGTCACTTTCGGGGTTCTGGGTAGATGTGAACTTTGGGGGGACACTATCCAACCATCACACCATGTTAAACAGATAAAAGGACGGAGGGTCTAGCTAAGGCATCATGAGTAAGAGGGGGAGGTGGGGAGGGGCCGCATCCTGCAGGGCATTCTGGGGCTTGTGGAAAGAGTTTGGATTCATTTCAAGTGCAAAACAATGCCACTGAAGGGTGTCAGCAGGAGAGTGGCTTACATTTTTAAGAGATCACTTGATACTGTATGAAGAACGGGCCATAGAGTGAAGAGCAAGAACGTAGCAGAGAACCTGGGAAGCGACTGCAGTTGTCCTATCAAGAGGTTCGGGATGGAGGAAAGTGCCAGTCCAGGGCATAGTGGTGAAAGGTGCATTAATCTGAGGTATGTTTTGGAGGTAGAACTGAGGGACTTCCTTAAGTACTGGATGCCAGCAGTGAGGGAGAAAGAGACGTAATTCCTGAATATTTGGTTTTAACAAACGGGTGGAGGTTTTAGCAGCCGGTGGCATTACCAAGATGCCTTTACTAAGATGAGGAAGACTAGGGATGAGGTAGGGTATGGGAAAATAAAGACTGCCACTTGAGATGTACTAAGTTCATTGCCAAGTACTGCCCTTTGTTGCTGGCAAGTGAACAGCTCAATTAGGCAGGGGAGAGAGCTGAGTTGGCAGGCTTAGAGGGAGAGAAGCCCAAGGAGCTGCTTGCATTTAATATGGCTAAAAGGATTGCTCTGGACCACACTCAGGGAGGAGGAGGAAAGACTGGGGAGGAGGAACCTGGGCTTAACTGGCATTTGGTGCCTTGGAAAGAGCTGAGTAAGGGACGGCTGGGGTTGGGGTGGGGACAAGGAGAGTGTTGGGGTTCTGCTTCCTGCTTGGCCCTGGTCTGCATGACATTAGAAATCATTCCCCTCTGGGCCTCAATTTCCTCATCTATAAAATGGGGCCAAGAGTACCTGCCCAGCCAGGGCTGGGGAAAATAGAGATAATGAATATAGCATGGTGTTTGGCTCTGAGTAGGATGCTTTGCTATTGTTCTTGCTGAGGATCCCAGAGAAGGGTATAGGGCAGAGAAGTGGTATGGTATGGGGGGGGCGTAAGAATGGGGACTCCGTGGCCATGTCAGGGATGTCCTGGACCCTGGCTTGTGCCCCCAAGAAACTGCCCTGCCAAGTTCCCCAACATTTATTTTTGTCCATTTATCAGATCTGTAGACTGAGTGGGTGGAGGGGGGCGGGGAGGGATAGATCATCACTGTCATCACTAATACATTCACCCCCTTGTGGAGCACAGCTAAGCACTTTGCGTACATTTTTCCTTTGTCCCTCATGTAAGCCTTCCAAGGACACTCCCAGATGAGTTCTATCATTATTAGCCCATCTCACAGATGAAAAATAATTTTTATAGAGCATAATTGATGGATCGGAAGCGGCAAACAATTCCACAGCATCTGCTCTGCGCAGGTACAGAGCTGGGCTTCCTAGAAAGCAGCCTTTATGCTTTTTATGAAGTTCAGTGGATCTCACCTTCACGAAGCTTTCTCTGGTGAAGAAACAAGTTCTTTCCTTCGCTTAACTACCATGAGGCGCCTTCTCTGTAGCAGACACGGAGCTATAAAGATTCCTCACTGGTTTGTGCCTTGTGAATGGCAGAGTCTTAGAATAGGAGAGATCCTTCTGGGGGCGGGGCACACCTGCCAAGAATTTCCAATTTCCTGATCTTCTGCAGGAGGAAGAAAAGAAGACTGGGAGAGGTTAGCAGGAGAAAGCGAAAAGTAACAAGGAGATGCGAGTTTAGGAGACAGGACCAACCCAAGTCCAGATGGGCAAATACCTTCCGTTTCCCAGCAGCTCTGGGCCTCGGCTCGGATGGCCATTTGTCAATAGCAGGGCTGAGGTTTCTGCCAGTGAAAACAAGATAGGATTTCTGGATTGAGAACAGAAGCCAGCGGGTGGCCGACTCCTCCCCCATTGCCCCGCGGAGCCGCCCCTGTAGACGAGAGAAACTGGCGTGCAAGCAGGGCTCCCCGTACCACTGCTGCCTTTAGCATCCCTTCCCCACCGCACCCTGCATCCCCCCACCTGACCGCAAGTGCCCAGGGTGCGGTGCAGGAGCCGGTGGGAAAGAACGGGTGCCGGACCGGGTCAACCAGAATCAGCTAAGCGGTATCAGGGGAGAAACACGCTAATTCCCGCAGAGGAGCCCGCCCGGGTGGTCGCGGAAAGCAGAGCAAAGAGAAAGGCTAGCGAGGCGGAGACCCCACACCACGCACCGTGCCTCCTTGACCGGACACCCCAGATCAGAGTCCTGAGCCCCGCGAACCTAGAGAGGGGAGGTAAGACCTGAGAGGGCGCCAGCAGCCGGTCTGTAGGGGGGCAGCATCTGCGCGCCCAGGGCCCTCCTGGAGCTCCACGCTACAGTCTACAACGCATCCCTGCAGTAAACCTCACCCCGGGAAAGATCGCGCCAACTTAGACTTAAAAGGCGTCTTGGAAACTGAGCAGCAACGCGCCTATCTCCCAGTTCCTGCTCCTGACTCCTCCGAGTCCCCAGCCTCCTACGCGGCGACAGTGAGACCCTGCACGGAGCTGGAGCAACCTGTTCAGCAGGAGGCAGCTGCCGGACCCCCAACTTCCCGCACGGAGAGCGTCTCCAGATCCCGAGAAGGCACCTCTGCAGTGAGGGTACTTCCCCCAACTCGCCACTGCCTTCGGGGTGCAGTGCGGACCCAAGCGCATGGAGAACCACACCGAGCACTCTGAGCGCGCGGTCGCGTCGGGCCTGGGCACCATGCCCCGGCCTCCGCTAGCTGTACAAGCGGTGATTTGACCCTGGTGCCCCTCGTGTGCGCCGTGGGTGTGGCTGGCAACGCTACGGCGATCCTGGTGGTGCTCCGGAGCCGCCACATGGTCACACCCACCAACTGTTACTTGGTGAGCCTGGCCGCCGCGGACCTGCTGGTGCTCCTGGTGGCGGGAGTGCCCACCGTAGCCGAGGCGGCGTCCGCCCGGGCTTGGGTCTTCGGCCACGCCGGCTGCCTGGGCGTCACCTATCTGCAGTACGTGGGCATCAACGCGTCCACAGGCTCCATCACCGCGTTCACCGTGGAGCGCTACCTCGCCATCTGCCACCCGCTGCGCGCCCAAACTCTGTGCCCGGTGGCGCGGGCCAAGCGCATCGCGGCATCGGTGTGGCTGGGCACCAGCGCCCACTGCGTGCTCTGGCTCTTCCTGGTGGACACACGCGAGACCGCCTACGCCGACGGCGTGCAGGTGCAGTGCGGCTACCGCGTGTCGCGCTCTCTCTACCCGCCCATCTACTTCCTGGACTTCGCGCTCTTCTATGCGCTGCCCCTGGGCCTGGCCACCCCGTTCTACGTGCTCATAGCGCGCGTCCTCTTTGTGGGGCCGCTGCCTCCTGGCGACCGGGGTCACTCGGGCTCTGCGCACCAGGGCCCCCCCGGCTGGCCAGCGGCGCTTCTCCTCCAGCGGCAAGAGAGGCGCCCTCAACTCCCGGAAGCAGGTGGGGACCTCGGTCTTCATTGGGACCGCTTTGCTGAGCCAGCAGATGGACGGATGGAAGCTTGGGCCCTTTTGGAGTCAAACTCCTCAAGTGTCAATCCCTGTCGTGCCACTTACTAGGCTTGATTTTGGAGCTATCACTTCTGCCTTTCTGAGCCTCAGTTTCCTCTTCTGCTCTATGGGGTAATGACAGCGCCCACCACATTGGGTGGCGAGAAATGGGATTAACCATGTGAATGAAGCCTTTAGCCCCTGTGAAGCCATGTCACAAACTAAATGTTCAATTAAGATTGGTTATTACTAAACTTTCACAACCAGCGCCACAGCCCTGGTGGTACTCTCCTAATGATGGGGAAACAGAAACTCAGAGAGGAGAAGTGACTTTCCCAAGTCCTTACCACATCTGACCCTAAAGCTGCCTGCATGGACTCGGAGAGCCAGCCAGCCTAAGAGGGGGATGGGTGGTAGTGAGGTCAGGAGGGACCCAGCACTTATGGAGCACTTACTGTGTGCCTGATTCTTTGATCATTCCTGCTATTACCCCTATTTGGGAGGTTTCACACCTATTTTAATGGATAAAGAAACAGGCTCAGAGGGGACAAGGGAGTGAGAAGGTGACCCATGGAGGAAACTGGGGCGAGAACCCAAGTGTCCAGACTCCTTATATCCTCCACCCACACTCCAGCAGTGTGGCCTCCTAAGGGTATTCAAGGGGTGCGGGTGGGAGGAGAGCTCCCAAAGCCCAACTGGTCCTTTATCCTCAGCCTTCCACCCACACCCTCAGCTGGCGAGAGAGGGGGGAGGACACCTCGCCCCTGCTGAGTCACTCTTGAGCCAGGCGAGGACCATCTGTGCCATCTCCCTTCCTCCTGGGGTGGGTGCACTGTTGGGGGGCTCTTCCAGCCTCCCCAAACTGCCCCTGCTTGCAGGCATGTTAGCTCCAGGTGGGTTTTAGAGGAAAGGGGGCAGGACCCAAGCTGAGCAGGTGTGGAAAGTTCACTCTGGCTGTAGGCTTAACACCACCTTAGGCTCCAGACCAATGCCCCTCCTAGCCTCCCACCAATTATTTACTTCTCTGTTTACCACTTTCCCACTCAGCCTAAAAGGGCTAGGTTCAAGCTCCCACCTGGCCTATGCTTTAGGTGAGACTTCTGCTGGTGAAAATAGTCTTCCAGACCGGGATCTTTCTAGCCCCCAGCTTTGTTAATGCCTTGCTGTGTAGCCTTGGGTAAGTCACTTCACCTCTCTGAGCCTTGATTTTCAACCCTGAGCCTTGATGTGAAGTCATTATATAATTATAGTGCTCATCTACCTCAGTGGATGGTAGCGGATATTATGAATCTGGCACATAGTAAGAGTTCAATGTAGGGTACCTATTATTACTGTTTTTTTGGAGCATCGATGTCTTTTTTGACAGTGGGCAGTCTAAAGACTGAGCATTCTTTGATGCCCAAGAGAGCTCTTGCAGAACACCATGTACCACGGCAAGAGGGGAGAGGTATGGAATGAAAGCAGAACGTCTAAGAGAGCAAGGTGGAGAATACTACTGCTAATAATAATAGTCAACAATTATTGGGATTTGCTATGTGCCAGGCACTAGTCTAAATGCTTTACACAAGTTAGCATATTGAGTTTTTGTAACAACTCCATGATGTATGTACGGTTACCATCTCAGTTTGACAAATGAGGAAACTGAGTCACAGAGGAGCTGCCCCAGGTGACAGAACCGGTGTCAGAACCAAGGTTTGAACCCAGGCAAACTGGCTCCAGTGCCCACACACTGGTATCCGGTATTTATCCCCCAAATGAACCTAAAATGGAATAGAATTAAATCTGAACTTGGTAAAAATCAGGAGTCAAGACTGACTTGGGAATTCCTGAGATTTCTGGTTCCTGGAGAATATTACAGCCCTGAAGCTCATTGATTTAGTCAGGGCGAGCCTCTTTGGAGAGGTCACTCATAGCAACTAAACTCCTGGACTCTGAGAAGCAATCTTATGCAGGAACATTCCAGGCTAGCTTCCTCCTTGATGAGAAAGTTGTCTCTCCAGTGTTCCTCAGAGCTGATTCTATGTATCCAGAGGTTTCTGGGCAGAACCAGCGCAATGCCAAGACAATTGAAGCAATTTAAGCTCTAGTAAGTGCACTTTGCCCCCCCCCCACAAGATATGGTCTCTGAAGGAGTCACTGAGGACTCCGGAGGTGTGGGTGGGCCTGGGTGTGCTGCTGTCCTCCCCCAGGAAACTAGGGATGTCCCTGTCTCCCACTGACTGATGCCCCCTGGTGGCCTTTTCATTCTGGAATTTAAAAACGAGGGATCTTTTGAAACACCTTCCAGAGTGAGTGTACCACCTCTAGGAGGCTCTACTTCATCTCCACCGTTAGGGAAGTGCAAGCCAAGGATGAAAGGGGCTGGGGGCTGGAAGGTGAGGGAAGTGAGGAGTGGGGTGCAGTGAAAGCACCACAAGGGAGCGAGCTCGTGGCCGGGGATGTTGGGGAGAAGGGGTTGAGCTGGACAGAGAGGTATACCCAAGCTAAACAGCTGGTTATCAGTGGAACCAGGATGGTAACCCCGCTGCTCCTGGCTCTGAACTCCGTGCGCTTGTAATAGTAGTAGTAGATGTGTTTGCCACAGCAATCCCCCTGCAGGGCATTTAGGGCCTGCCTGGCACTGTTCTGTGTTCTTTACCTGCATTCATTCTTTAATCCTCAAGATCCGCCATGATGGAAGGCAGTGGATTCGTGAATTTGCAAGTTCCGCCATGATGAAGGCA